CAATCCCAGCCCCAGCAGTCTGGGAAAGAGTGGCCGTTTCATTTCCCTGACTCTGCCCAGGAGACCTCACAGCTCCTGGTGCCTTTCCTCTGGGATTAATGGGAAAACACCAAAGGACAGACACGTTACACCACACATGGAGGATTTTCCTTACATTCTCCTTGATGCCCCGGCTCTTCAGCTCCTGGATTTCTGCCATGAGCCTCTGGAGCTCCTGGCAGGTCTCCCTRTAGAGCTCGTAGTCCTTGATGGGGTCGCGCAGATCCACCTCGCTCTCCTCGCTGTAGTACCTGGCATCCTGCCAAGGCAACAACAACCTCCCGTGGCTCATCCCTCCCACCTTTTGGGGCACAAACTGCAATTTCTGGCTCTGCCCATCAATCTCACGGCTTCCCACAGGGAGAGGACTCAGCTCCAACAATCCCAAACCCACCAGTCACTAGAACACCKGGCGAGTTCAGGCTGTCTTTCATCAGTTGTTACAAATTTGAACTGACACCGTTGGGGTGTCCTGTGCAGGGTCAGGAGCTGGACTGGAGGATCCTTGTGGATCCTTTCCAAYTCAGGATRTCCCATGATCTACATGGCCACAGAGGATAAACCAGAAAGGTGATTCCTGCTCCTCCTCCTCGTCCTCCACCCCGATCCCCACTCTGGCTGATCCTGCACTATCCTGCTGCTCACGGGAGGGTTTGAAGGCACCATGCAAAGCCCTGAGGGATCTTCCAGCCTTGTGCTCACTCTCCAGAGGAGCGTTTGTGTCTCCTGAAAGAGATGGAAGCAGGTTTAGGAATTCACAGCAGGAATTTAAGAGGCGTGGGAAGCTGAGGGAATGGGGTCTCACAATCCATGGAATCCCAGAATGGTTTGGGTGGGAAGGGACCTTAAGTCCCATCCAGTCCCATGGGCAGGGACATCTTCCACTATCCCAGGTTTCTTCAAGCCCCATCCAAGCCCTGGCCTTGGATACTTCCAGGATGAGGCAGCCCCAGCTGCTCTGGGCAGTTTCCCAGCAGGGAGAAGCAGCACAGGGGTGTGGGAAGGTCTCTGGTCTGTACCTGGTCRGCGTCGCCCTTGCCCCGCTTGCCCTCGGTGGGGACCCCATCCGTGCGGATCACCTTGGGCTTCCTCTTCTTGCTGGACTCGGAGGACATGGTGCTGCCAGCAGGGCTGGGGAGAGGGCACAGGGGAGTTTGTGGGGGCCAAACCTGCCCGGATTTGGGCTATCCCGCCAGCCCTGCCTGGGCTCTGCAGTGTCCCCTGCGCCTCCCAACCCCTCCCAGCCCCCCCAGACCGGCTGAGCCCCATCAGAACAGCGTGGCCGGGGTCTCTGCTCCATCACAGTCCCCCCAGACCTTCCATTGCCACTGAGCTCCCTTGGGACACCGGGCCCGAGGGCTCAATCCCTCCAGGCCTCGGGGGCTCCACTGCCCCACAGACACGAGACTCCAACCCACCGGGACTACCACAGAGAGACCCACAGAGCCGGGACCCTCCGTCCCTCCAGAGCAGCCGAGATCCCAGCACATCGATCCGGGGACTCCATTCCTCCGAGCCCCCCAAACCCGGGACCCATCACCCCTCCAGAGCCCCCACATCCCAGCACATCAGGCCCAGAACCCTTCACTCCTCCAGAGCCCCTCCAAACTGTCAGGCCCGGGACTCTCCGCTCCTCCAGAGCCCCCCAGACCCACAGCACACCGGGCCTGGGGCCTCAGCATTCCCGCGGTTCCCCAACACGGGGCTTTCGCCCTTCCAGACCCCATCAGAGCAGGACCCTCCAGTTGCACTGAGCCCCCAGCACACCGCGCCATGGATCCTTCCCCCCTCCACAGTCCCCCCTAGCCCGCGGAGCCCGGGGCCGTTCCCTCCATCCCCTCCCGGGGGTCCCGGTTCGCCCCCCGACTCACCGCGCCCTCGCCTCCGCGCCTCCCGGAAGTGACGTCACGGAACAAGAGAGCGCGGCACGGAGCGGCGGTGAGAGCTGCTGCTGCTACGGGCGCCCCCTAGCGGACCCCGCATCCTGGAGGACCCGCCAGGCGCGCTGGGGGTGTGGCTTCGGTGAAKGGGCGTGGTTTGGGCGAAGGGGGCGCGGCTTAACCAAGGGGGCGTGGTCACCACCCAATTCACAAACTCGGGAGGCGGGGGCGACAGCTCTGGGGCTGAGACCCCCACTCTGGGGACACTGGTGGGACTGGAGGGGGGGTCCTGGTACAGGAGGGCACCCACAGGAATAGGGGGAGCACTGGGTAGGGGGTCCCAGAGGCACC